GCTGAACGGATGGATCGTTTCAAGTGCGGGCTGAAAACAAACGTGCGCATGGAGGTCGAGCTGAGGGACTGCTCTACGCTCGAGGAAATGATACGCGTGGCTGAACGGTATGATGCTGTCCATTACGCATACAACAAGCCTCGCTTTCCTCGTAGCACGCTCCTCCCATCTGCTCCCTCCTACCAGCCCTCTACACCAACGGGCTCCAACCTGCAAGAACCTACTCCTATGGACCTGGACCTGATGGAGAAGAAGAGGAAGAACCCAAGACCAGCCGTCGTGTGCTACAAGTGCGGCAAGAAGGGACACGTGTGGAAATTCTGCCGCCAACGCACCAATCTGCCTCCCATCCTTCCAACGCCGGGAAACTCAAGTCGCCAGTAAATGTGGGGCAACTTTCTGGTGACTATACCTGCCCCACTATCTCTTTTCTTGAAAGTCGTAACCCCTCTCAACCTCTTCTCCTTTCTATGCTGATTCGTGGTCAAACAGTGAAAGCCCTAGTTGACAGTGGTGCTTCCTCTAGTTTCATCTCCTCCTCTCTACTTTCCAAGCTTTCTCTCCCAACTCAATCTGATTCCCTACCTCAAACAGTGCTGATGGCGAACGGAACCTCGATTTCATGTGGACAAGTGCCTTTCCTTGTTTCATGCTCTATTGGACCCTATAAAGACAAGATTCAATTTCAGCAAGCCTCTCTCGGAGACCATGAAGTGATTCTTGGACGTGACTGGCTTTCCCTAAAAAACCCCAAGATTGATTGGACTCTTGGAACCGTCACCATCTCTCACTCTGGAAGAGACATTACCTTACCTACCTTCTCCTCCTCCTCCTCTACCCCCACTTGCTGCAACCTCCTCTCAAAACGACAGCTAAAAAAATATCTCAAAGACCCAAGCTCTCAATTCTTCCTTTGTTTTTTTAATCAAATTTCAGAAACTCCTATTCTCTCTTCCCCTCCCAAGGCTGCTGAAATCCCTTCTGAAATTCAACATGTTGTCAATGAGTTCAAAGACATCTTCCCTGCTGATCTTCCTTTCTCACTTCCTCCGAAGCGTGCCATCGATCACTGTATCATCTTGCAACCCGGTGCTTAACCTACCGTTCGCGCTACGTACCGGATGAGTGCTGCCGAGCTGAAAGAAGTCTAAAAGCAGTTGGAGGAGCTTCTTGAGAAGGGCTTCATCCGCGTCAGCTCCTCTCCCTATGCAGCACCGATTCTCTTTGTCAAAAAGAAAGATGGCAGCATGCGCATGTGCGTTGACAACCGCGCGCTCAACAAAATCACCATCAAGAACCGCTATCCCCTGCCGCGCGTGGAAGAACTCTTTGATCAACTTGGTGAGGCCACAATTTTCAGCAAGCTGGACCTACGAAGCGGTTATCATCAAGTGCGTGTTGCTGACGAAGACACTGAGAAAACCGCCTTCCGAACACGGTATGGGCATTTCGAGTTTCTCGTGCTTCCTTTCGGACTAACGAATGCCCCTGCCACCTTCATGTCCTTGATGCACAGTGTCTTTCGGGATTTCTTGGACCGGTTTATCATCATCTTCATCTATGACATTCTGATTTATAGCAAATCCTTGAAGGAACACACTGAGCATCTAAGGCAAGTCTTCGCACGTCTTCGTGAGCATCGTCTCTTCGCCAAACAGAGCAAGTGTGAGTTTGCCAATCCTTCAATTCCTTCCTTGGGCCACATCATCTCACACAACCAGCTTGCTATGGGACCCTTCCAAAGTCAAAGCCATCAGGGAATGGAAGGAGCCAACCTCTATCAAGGAAGTGCAAGCCTTCCTTGGTCTTGCCAACTACTACCGCAAGTTCATTCGCCACTTTGCTGCCATCACCTCTCCCCTATCCAACCTTCTTCGCAAGGGTGAACCATTTCATTGGGACTCTGACCAGCAAACTGCCTTCAATGCTCTCAAGTGTGCACTAACCTCTTCTCCTACTCTAGCCCTACCCAACCCCTCCCTACCCTTTGTGATATGGACAGATGCGTCTCAGGTTGCAACGGGTGCAATTCTTTGTCAAGATCAAGGGCATGGCCTTCAGCCTATCGCCTTCGAGTCCCGGAAACTCAAACCTGCCGAGTGCAACTATGCTACTCACGATCGCGAGGCGCTGGCCATCATCCATGCAATCAAGAAGTGGCGCTGCTATGTTCACATGCAGCCCGTCACTGTCTTAACCGATCACTGCACCCTGCAACACCTGAAGACGCAGCCCCATCTCACCCCGAGGCAGGCCCGATGGATGGAGTACCTAGAACAGTACATACCGGAGCTGAAAATCGAGTACCGTGCTGGCCGCGTCAACCCTGCTGATTCCTTGACTCGGCCTCCTCAACCTCTGCTCACCACCATCGGAAGTGTCACATGGGACGAAAGCTTCATCAAGAAATTCACCAAAGGGTATTGTCGTGACCATTTCTATCTCTACTCTGCTGCTGACGAAAAATCTGTCTTCTACGAATTCCCCTTTTGGTATAAGGCAGATTCTCGAGTCATCTGCGTCCCCGCAGAGCACAAGCTTCGCTATCTCCTGCTACGCGAGCATCATGACCAGAATGGGCACTTCGGAGTAGACAAAACGCTTGCAGCCATCTCTTCCAACTTCTTCTGGCCCAAGCTCTCTCGAGACGTCTGCTCCTACGTACGCAGCTGCCACACATGCCAGTTCAACAAAGCTCGCAACGCTGCACCCTACGGCCTGCTACATCCCTTGGAAATCCCTCAGCTCCCATGGACTCATGTGACTCTCGATTTCATCACAGATCTGCCTCGCACCTCCTTCCATCACAACGCCATCCTCACCGTAGTGGACAAGCTGAGCAAGATGGCACACTTCCTCCCTACCTCCACCACAGCTACAGCTGAGAATGTCGCTGATCTCTTCTTCAAGGAAATAGTACGTCTCCATGGCATCCCTTCCGTACTAATCAGTGACCGTGATTCTCGGTTTGTTGGCAGATTTTGGCAATCCATTTTCAACAGATTGGGCACCAAGATTCATCTCTCCACTGCCTATCATCCTCAGTCCGATGGGCAGACCGAGAGGATGAATCGAACACTTGAAGATGCTCTGCGCGCATGCGTGAATGCACGGCAAAACGATTGGGACCAGCATCTGCCATCGATCGAATTCTCCTATAACAACACGGTGAACCTTGCCACGGGACAAACCCCATTCTTCCTCGCTACAGGGCAGCAACCTCGCACACCGGCTTCTCTCGTACGCAGCAGCGACACCAAACCAGCAACCGAATTCCTCTCTACTCGGGAAAAGACCATTGCAGCAGCACGTGCTTCCTTGCTCAAATCTCAACACCGAGGATGCCGATCAACACCGTCGTGACATTCAGTTCCACGTAGGTGACCAAGTCCTCCTCTCTACCACAAACCTCCCCTTGCTGCAGAAAGGTCTCACTCGTAAACTTGCACCTCGTTTCATCGGCCCTTTCCCCATCACCCAAGTTCTCTCTCCTCTCACTTACCGTTTGAAACTTCCACCACACATCAACATACACACTTTACATACACCCTGTTCAGCTGCCACGTCCTTACCACATTCCTCCAGCCCACTTCCCCCTCCTACCTCTGCCTCCTCGGCCTCCTATGTTCACATCCAACCCTGATCTCTTTGAAGTTGAGAAAATCCTGTTCCATGAAACCTCTCCTCGCGGCACTTACTTCCTTGTAAAGTGGCGTGGGAAAGACTCCTCTCACAACCTCTGGATACCCGAGACAAGCTTTCACAATGCCCAGAGAGCCCTTCAGAGCTACCTTGCATCTGCTCAAGCACCGAGGACGGTGCTTGCTGGAGAGGGGAGTAATGTAACAAGGCGAAGGCGATCTCGCCGTCCGCGATTTCGCCAACTCAACTCCTTGTGATCCGAACCAGAGTTCGGAACACACCCTAAGTACATTTCGCGAATTCAATGTTGGAATCCAACATTGAATTGTGCGGCTCGTAATTCTCAGTTTCCAACATTGGGAACAACTCCAGAGAGCATGCTACTGCTGGACACAACGGGGCAGAGAATTACCTACAGCGCAGCAGATTACTGACAGCACAAGGCTCTACAGCTATGACTACTTCCAGCAGTGCTCATACTCATCATTATCAACAACAACATGGACGACAACAAGACAGAGAATCTCTGCCCAATACATTAGTGATTTCCTGGGCTTTGCTTATTGGTTCTATAATTAGACAACAAGGCTAGGATGCTCTGTACATAATAATAAATGCTATGCCTTGCTGTTCCTAGCTCTAGGAAGGTGAATGGCGACCTGAGCGACCTGCTCAAGGCGCCCATGCTATTATCCTAGTGTATGAGGATATGTCTCTGATGTGTAAGCCATCATATGATCTAGTAAAGTTACTATCTTTCTGAAATTCTTCCAAGAAAGCCTTCTTCTACTAGTATTGTTAAGGGGGGATTTACTGTTCATTCCGAACAGTACTTTCCAACTCACCCTTATCCTTATCTTCCTAGATTTCCATGTGCCACGTGGCACTCTACTTTTCTAGCTTCACAATTCCTAGTCCCACAATCTACTTTCCAACCTTGTTTCTTGCATGCTATATCAACCTTGCTTGTAATCCCTCATATCAACCAATTCTCATTCAACTATTTTTCAATTACTCAGTAACTTCTTCGCCTATTTCGCCAATAGTCTTTTCGCCAAAGCCTTCCGCCGCGCTTTATCCTCGACTTAGTCAACACCGCTAATTCTTTAGCGGACTTTGGCCGTCGGGCCTAACACTTGGTATCAAGAGCCTTCGCGGGGAGCGACTTCCAACGAGCGGCCGTCGACGACGAGACTACGACGTCATCGTCCCGCGGTGCCGACTTGCAGACTTGGAGTCGTCGAGCGAACATGGACGAAACCATGCACGCTCTCCCCCACGACATGGGCAACACGCTTGCCGAACTCATGCGCCAACTTCAAGAGTTGACGTTGGAAAATCGTCAGGTACGAGCTGAAATGCAACAGCTTCGTGAATTGGCTTCTAACCCCCATGGTCATGCCGCACCAACTCCTGCACCCACCACGTCGACTGGCGCGGAAGCGCTGCCGGAACGTCGAAGCGCGCTCAAGCCGCAAAAACCGCAGTCGTTCGACCCAAGTCAACGCGACGCGAACGTGCGGACGTGGCTCTTCATGCTCAACAACTACTTCGCCGCGAGCGGGGTGCAAAAAGCGGACGCGCAGCAGCGGATCGAGTATGCCGTGACGCTGTTGAGGGGGCCGGCCTTGGAGTGGTGGCGCCAACTTACGCAGACTGCTGTTAGAAGGGCTCAGACGGACGGGCATCAACAGGGCGTGGGGCATGCAGCTGCAATCTCGAGCTTAGGGAGTTTAGCTTTGGGTGTTACCACGGTTCCGACGACATGGGAAGGATTTGAAGCGGCGCTGAAAAGTAGGTTCGACTTGGTGAACGCCTCCGAAGCTGCTAGGAAGCGTCTGCGTCATTTCCGACAGATAGGAAACGTCCAGGAGTACACACGACGGTTCTTGAGCATCTGCAACGAGATAGACGACATCACGGAAGCAGAGATGCGCGATCGCTACCTCGAAGGGTTGAAGGCGGACATAGCGGAGGTTATAGCGATTCACGGGTTGTCCACCTTCGAGTCGGTAGTCGCAGCAGCAGAACGCGTCGACGCAGTACGAAGCCGACGGGGTCGTGACGATCGTGATAAGGGATACAGCAGACTGATCAACGACGCTCGATCGAGGGACGGACCATCGCCCATGGAGATTGGTGCAGTTAACAGTGACGGTTCACAGCGGACGGGTTTTAGGGGGAACTGTTACTACTGCAAAAAGCCGGGTCACATGAAGCGGGACTGCCCACAGTTCAAGGAGCAGCAGCAGGGAAACGGAAACCGCCAGTAGTTAGCGGGTCGCTAGCTGGTGTGGAGGTTCCCGTACCCGCCACGTCTACCAACGTAGAGGAGACGGCCTTGCAGCAGTCATCTACGGAGACCTCGGTAGACACTGTTGATCGACCAGTCGTGCTTCTAGGGAAGCTTCGCGGAGTTCCAGTCAAGATTCTCGTCGAAAGCGGAGCTAGCCACTCGTTCGTTTCGTCTTCATTAGTTAGTCGTCTCCATCTCGAAGCAGATACGGCAGCAGTTAACTTCAAGGATGCTCGCATGGTAGATGGGACGCCGCTTCACATAGGACCAGTCATTCGCAAGTTGCGCGTAGTGCTAGGACCGATCACGGTTAGACGTGACTTCGACTCTGCAACACTGGACGGCTACGACTTCATCTTCGGTAGAGATTGGTTGCGGACGGTTTCGACTCAGTTCGATTGGGCTCAGGGACGCTGCAGTGTCAAGGTAGACGGGGAGTTCCGGGAGCTGCCACAGTGGAGCGATGGGGCCACATCATCCACAGCTATCATTAATGCTGTTCGTGTGCGACAGTTAGTGAAGCGTGCGGCACGGATCTTCGCGGTTTTCCTTGAGGAGGTTGAAGCTGAGGAGGGGAAAGGAGGGAGTGCAGCAGTTAGTGAGAAGGCGACTCTTCCTGCTGAAGTGAGTGCACTGTTAGCAGAGTTCGCAGACGTCTTCCCTGACGAGTTGCCCCCAGGGTTACCTCCCAGCCGAGCAGTAGACCATCGAATAGAGTTGGAGCCGGGGAGCAGGCCAGTAGCGAAGCCGCAGTGGAGGTTGAGTCCAGCAGAGACAGAGGAGATGACGCAGCAGGTTAGGCACTTCCTAGCACAGGGGTTCATACAGCCATCTAGATCGCCTTGGGCCGCACCGATCCTGTTTGCGCCTAAGAAAGACGGAGGGTTACGGATGTGCATAGATTACCGCGCACTGAACGCCGCCACCGTCAAGAATAGATTCCCGGTGCCGAGAGTAGAGGATCTCCTAGATGCAGTGCAGGGCGCTAGAGTCTTCTCCAAGATCGACCTTCGTTCGGGTTACCACCAGATTCGCGTAGTTCCAGAGGACCAGCACAAGACGGCGTTTCGTACGAAGCAGGGGTTGTACGAGTTTAGGGTTCTACCGTTCGGACTGACCAACGCCCCAGCGACGTTCCAGACGCTCATAAACACCGTCCTCTCCGAGTTCCTAGGTTCGTTCGTCGTAGTTTACCTAGACGACATCTTGATCTTCTCCAAGTCGAAAGAGGAGCACGTGCAGCACTTGCAGAAGGTCTTTGAGGTCTTGCGGAGGGAGAAGCTGTACGCGAAGCAGTCGAAGTGCGAGTTCTTTCTCCCCGAGGTCGAGTTCCTAGGACACGTCGTATCCGCTAGTGGCGTTAGGACCGACCCGAAGAAGATCGCAGCCGTACAGGATTGGGTAGCACCGACCTCAGTCAAGGAGTTGCAGAGCTTCCTCGGTTTCGCGAATTATTACCATCGTTTCATTCAGGGTTACGCATCGATCGCTAGTCCACTCACCGACCTACTTCGGAAGGGCGTAGAGTACGTTTGGGGTCCAGCGCAGCAGCAGGCGTTCGAGCAGATGAAGCAGTCGCTCACGTCTTCACCGACACTGTCGTACCCCGATCCCACTCGCCCGTACGTTGTAGTGACCGACGCTTCAGATCAGGCCATAGGTGCAGTGCTTCTTCAGGACCAGGGCCGCGGGTTGCAGCCGATCGCGTATGAGTCGCGTAAGCTTAGGGGAGCGGAGCTGAACTATCCGATACACGACAAGGAGGCGCTCGCGATCATCCATGCGTATAAGGTGTGGAGGTGCTACCTAGAGGGGGCAGATAGTGTTATACGCACGGACCACTGTTCGCTTCGTTTCCTCAAGTCGCAGCCGCAGCTGAGTCGTCGCCAGGCTAGATGGATGGAGTTCATGGAGGGGAGCTTTCATTACAGGATAGAGTACAAGCCAGGCGTTCGCAACCCAGCAGATCCGCTCACTCGCCCTAGTTGCCAGCTCGCTAGTCTCACAGTCACTGCAGGCCATCCACTTCTCACAGCACTCTTCGAGCACGGTCACACCGCAGCCGCCCACCGGAGCAGAGGTGCAGGGTAGTATTTACATACGGAAGGGAACAGCATGGATTTGGGTTCCAGCCTACCGCCCTCTTCGACAGCTTCTTCTCTCAGAGGCGCACGACGTAGTTAGTGCAGGTCACTTCGGAGCAGATAAGACGGCTAAGACACTTAATCGCACGTACTTCTGGCCAGGGCTTGCAGCAGACGTAGAGGATTACATTCGCTCGTGTGACACGTGCCAGCGCACGAAGTCCTCTCGCCAGCGTAAGGCGAGACTTTTGCAGCCGATTCCACCGCCCGACCGCCCTTGGCAGGTAGTTACGATGGATTTCATCTTTACCACGCACAGTTAGGGGCCACGACGCCATCTTTGTGGTAGTGGATAAGTTTTCTCGAGCAGCGCACTTCATCCCCACGCACGGCCAGGTCACAGCAGAGGAAGCCGCGACGCTGTTCGTAGATAACGTAGTCCGACTGCACGGGGTTCCAGATTCGATCATTTCCGACCGCGACCCTAGATTCACCTCGAAGTTCTGGAAGCAGCTTTTTGCACTGTTTGGGACTCGCTTAGCCATGTCGTCTGCGTACCATCCAGAGACAGACGGACAGACCGAGCGTGTGAACCAGACTTTGGAGCAGATTCTTCGCAGCATCACGATGCACGACGCAGCAGCATGGGACAAGAAGCTGAGCATGGCAGAGTTCGCATACAACAATATGCACCACTCCGCCACAGGCATGTCACCGTTCTTTGCACTGTACAGTGAGCACCCCAATGTCCCCACTCGTGTCGATCTCACACCCACAGTCCCTCGTGCGGACAACTTCCACCAGCACCTTGTCAGAATCACTAGGCAAGAATGATTGAACTAACAGAAGTTTGGGTACAAATATGAAACCCTAGTTGGGGTTGTACCCCATATTGGCTACCCCACTACAGCCTACAAGCATAATACAGTTTAACACACCCCCATAGGCAAAGTGGGGGAGAACAAAGGGTCACAAGACCAGTCCAGCAAAGCAAAACAAAGCCCAGGGTGGATCACAACGTCACCACACTCCGAGCACAAGTAAAGGCCACAAGGCCAGTTCACATGCAGTGCTAGATATAGTACAAGACAAGCAACACAGTGATCAAAACCTAGCAAGCAAGCAACAAGATATATATAAAGTACAGTACAAAGAATGTCAAGCAGTGAGCAAGTGAGGAAACGTGGACACAAGGCCTAAAGAAGTACAGTGCCGCTGATGATCACTAGGCGGGAGCGCCTTGGTGAAGATATCAGCAGTGTTGGCCTTCGAGTCCACGTACACAAGTCGAAGCTGACCGCGCTGCTGAAGCTCTCGAGCAAGAAAGTAGCGAAGAGCAATGTGCTTCGTCCTGTGCTCCAGTCTGTGCTCCTGACACAAGGCAAGAGCCGCCTTGTTGTCACCGTACAGAACTGGAGGAGAACTAGGCCGCTCTCCCAAGTCAGTCAGCAGGTAGGTGAGCCAGCGTAACTCCTGTGCAGCCATGGCTGTGGCGTAGATCTCAGCCTCACAACTAGAGCCGAGAACAGAGGAAGAGCGGGTGGACCGCCACGAGACAGAACCAGAGCCAAGGCTGAAGGTGTAACCCTGTGACGACCGCTGCGTAGCCAGGTCGTCCACCCAAGAGGCGTCCGAGTGACCAGTGAGGACAACTCTGTCGCGTCCTCCAAGCACCAGCCCCATGCCTGATGTACTGCACAGGTAACGCAGCACCCTCTTAGCAGCCTCCCAGTGCTCTCGCCTGTGTCTCCCAGGCGCAACGTAACGAGCAAGGATGCTAAGAGGGTACGCGAGGTCAGGTCGCGTGCAAGTCATCAAGTACATGAGGCAGCCTACAAGCTCTGGGTACGGGCCACTCGGCTCTACGGACTCGTCCGAAGGTGGAGCTGAGAGCGAGTGGCTGGTAGCCAGAGGTGTGGCCTGTGGTGAGGAGAACTGGAAGCCGAAGCGCTGAAGGACCTGCTGCACCATGTGTGACTGAGTCAGGGTGATGGTGCGGCGAGCTCTGTCCCGGGTGATCTGCAAGCCAAGGTAGCTACGCAGTTCACCCAGGTCAGTGCAGGTGTGTCTCTTCTGCAGCTCCGACTTCACACGAGCGAGTGCCTCAGTGTCAGCAGTAGCAAAGACCAAGTCGTCGACGTACACGAGAATGTAGAACGGCGGCAGCGACGTGTCTGTGCGCAGAAACAGCGACGGGTCAGCAGTAGACGGCGCGAACCCAAGAGCCGCAAGAGTAGTCCTCAGTGTGTCGTGCCACTCACGTGGCGCCTGGCGGAGACCGTAGACTGGCCGGCGGAGACTCCACTGGGTACCAGGGGGAAACGACCCAGTAAAGCCAGGTGGGCGGCGCAGCCAGATCTCCTCGTGCAGGCTGCCCTGCAGGAACGCTGTGCTGAAGTCAAGAGAGTGAAGCTCGTAGTCACGCTGAGCAGCAACGTGCAGCAGAACCCGAAGAGTGGTCATCTTCGGGGTGGGGGAGAAGGTCTGGAAGAAGTCGACCCCCTGACGCTGACTGAAGCCTCTAGCAACGTAACGAGCCTTGAAGACAGGCGGAGAACCTGGCGGCCGCTTCACCCTGAAAATCCACATGCCATCGACGATGTTCGCCCCAGGAGGGGGAACCTCGTCGACGTAGGTGCCTGTGGACTTCCAGGATGCCATCTCTGCGTCCATGGCTGTCTGCCACTGAGAGGAGTAGGGACCCGAGATCGCCTCTGCGTAAGTGCGCGGAGTGGGGATGTCTAGTGCATCCGGGTCTCCCTCAGGGGCAAGCAACCAGGCCACGAGATGAGGTACAGCAGCCGCAAGAGAGTCAAAGTCCTCCTGCCTGTCCTCAAGGACGTCCGTGCCAAGAGCACACTCACCCCCGACGGACGGAGGACAGACAGACGCAGACTCTGACTCAGCAACAAGGCTAGCAGCGTAGTCTAGACGACAGGCAGCAGCAAAGTCAACCAACTCAGCGACCAGAGCAGACGCAGCCGAGGACTCAAAGGTAGGGTCAGTGACAACAGTAGCGAGGAGACGCGTGACTGTAGGGTGCTCAGCGCGATACCGGTCAGACTCAGGGTCCGGAACGTCAGGCAAAGAGGACGCAGGAGGAGACGGTAGAGGGACACGCCGAGGAGCAGTAGAGGGACGCAGAGTCATGTAGTGAGTGCCTGGGACAGGAGGAGGACGCTCACGACGGACACGACTAGCAGTGCGAGCAGGACGAACAGGCGACGCAGGACGAGACTCAGGCTCACGACGCTCTGTAAGACCTCCTGTGGGACCAGTATAAGGAGAGGGAGCAGGGAGAGGCGAGGCAGGCGGTAACTGTGACTGCGGCTGGACAGGCGGAGGACACTCTACGGAGGGAGGAGGACAAGGAGGAGGAGCCTGCCCAAGAACCTGCTGAAGGAGCGGTACGAAGTACGGTCGCGGCCGCGCAGCGTCTCCAGAAGCAGAAGGGACTCCAGCGGCCGGGTCCTCAGCACCAGTAGGAGCTCCAGCGTCCGGGTCCACAGCACCAGCAGCAGCTCCACCGGCCGGGTCCCCAGCTCCAGCAGCAGCTCCACCGTCCGACTCCTCAGCACCAGTAGCAGCTCCACCAGGTGGGTCCGCAGCACCAGCAGCAGCGCCACCGTCCGCTACCCCACTACAGCCTACAAGCATAATACAGTTTAACACACTTCACATTCATCCACGACCATGTGAGGAAGCACCTTGAGCTTGCAAATGCACGCATGGCACGCACCACCAACCGCAGTCGTCGTGAGGTGTCGTTCGCAGTCGGCGACCGTGTTCTTCTTGATAGCCGCAACCTCCGACTGCCACAGGACGGCAAGCTTCGCCCACGATGCATTGGTCCATTTGTCATTGAGCGCGCACTTGGTCCAGTCGCATACCGCCTTCGCCTTCCCGCTCATTTCCGCATGCACCCATCATTCCACGTGTCTCTCCTTCGTCCATACACCGATCCCAACTCCACCTTCTCGGGCCGTGATCGCACTCCACTGCCGGTAGCTGTTGACACCGACGAGCCCGACTACCAGATCCAGCGCATCCTCAGGCACCGTCGCCGTCTCCAGGGGGGTGTCTCTTTCATCGACTTCTTGGTTCGTTGGCGTGGTTACGATGCAGCCGACGACAGCTGGGTTCCTTCGTCCTCGCTGTCTGCTGATAACGCTTGCCTCCAAGCGTACCTTCAGTCTGCAGGCGCCGCGGACGTCGCCTCCTTGGGAGGGGGGTAGTGTTAAGGGGGGATTTACTGTTCATTCCGAACAGTACTTTCCAACTCACCCTTATCCTTATCTTCCTAGATTTCCATGTGCCACGTGGCACTCTACTTTTCTAGCTTCACAATTCCTAGTCCCACAATCTACTTTCCAACCTTGTTTCTTGCATGCTATATCAACCTTGCTTGTAATCCCTCATATCAACCAATTCTCATTCAACTCTTCTTCAATTACTCAGTAACTTCTTCGCCTATTTCGCCAATAGTCTTTTCGCCAAAGCCTTCCGCCGCGCTTTATCCTCGACTTAGTCAACACCGCTAATTCTTTAGCGGACTTAGGCCGTCGGGCCTAACACAGTACTTTCCCCCTTAACAAGTATTCTCTAAAAACAGCTTAGCGGCTGTTTCAAGCGATAAGGTAGAGCTGACACCGATTAGACAGAATTGGTCCCCTTTTGGCCATAATTGCTTCCTCTGCCCTTCCGTAACTGCTCTGGCGTAATTTCGAAGGATAGTGCCAAAAGGTACGTCACTTTTACCTAGTCATTTGGATACCGTATGAGCTGACCCAGCAATAGCACTAGTAACACTGCTCACCGTCATCCCTAATGCATCCTATGGACGATGGCAAGTCGAGCGAGGGTCACGCGTGCGTTGCTAGCTCTCCGTGAGCGCCGAGAGAATTCCGAATTGCCTACGTGGAGATCGCAAGTCGTGCGGTCACGTGCGTCGCTTGTAGATGCTTCGTGAGCGCCGAGAAAATCGTAGCGTTGTGTTGCGTGTATTGCGAGAGACGGCATTGCGAGCATCGCAGACGTCGAAGCGAATCGTATTGCGTCAAATGTCGATCAACAGAACCGTCAACTTGCCTTTATTGACAGTTGTAGAGTCATAATCGTTTCGATGCTGGTTAGAGGCTACCACAACCTGCAGAGAGCCAACCATGCACCGCACGTGCGTGCAGTAGTTCCACGCAGCCATGTCGTCGTCTGACCAGACGGCCTTAGCCTTCCCTACCTCCTCCCCTACCTGCTGCTCTCACGTGCATCTTCCCCCCTGCTCATCACGAAAGCGGGTGGTCCCGCAACGAAATCGCCGACACCTTCCTCGAGGTGCGCCGGGGGAGAGGGGAGAGGCGCGCGGGGAGAGTCGTGGGGAGGGCAGGGAAAGGTGTGGCGAGGCGAGAAAGAAGGGGAGGGGGGGGATTGGTTGATGCTTGGTTTTAGAGACGTACAAGCCTGTGATGACAACTGTGTGCCAGCAGACAACTGCGTTGCTTTTTTTGACATCTCGATGCATCCCTCTTTTCCCTTCGCCAAGTGGATGAGACCGTGTATCAGCTGTAGCAGGCCGCATGGTGCTCTTTCGCAAGCTGGTTCCAAGTCGTCCCCTCGTCCCCCCTCTTCCCCCTTTTCCCCCCCTCCAGGTGTGTGAGCACGTGTACCAGCAGACCGCATCATGGTGCTGCGTAAGCACCATCTGGGCAGGACATGCGGAGCGGCCGTGCCTGCGGGTGAGTGAGCCATGGGATAAGGGATGACTGTTTGGATGATACATGTAAGCGGTGGGGGAAGGGGAGGCAGGAGGATAGAGGGTGCCAGCGCAGGACATGGTATGCGCGAGTGGCCGCGCCTGGGGTGAGGAAGGGGACGATGTGGGGATAGGTGAGATATAGAAGGGTTAACAGGAGTTGGGGGGCTCAGAGGGATATGGGGGTTGTAAGAGGCAATGGCTTGGTCAAACAGGTGAGGTCTAAAACGCAATTTCCCCCATTTCTCTTCTTTGTTCTCTGCCTTGCCTCTTCCCCACCCCTCTACCCCACCCCTCTCCTCCACCCCTCTCCCCCACCCTCCCCCCGCCCTTCTCCCCCACCCCTCTCCCCCACCCCTCTTGCCCACCCCTCTTGCCCACCCCCCCTAGCTCTTTTCCCCAGCCCTTTCCCCCGACCCTCTGCCCCCAAAACCCTGACCCTGCTAGGAGAACCCAGCCTCTGAGGAGGCAGTGGGATCCAGTGGCCAGCGCTCTTTCGTGTAAGCCTCTACCTGACCCCTCCCTCCTACACTTCGCACTTGGTCTTCCCCTTTCTGTCTCCCCCCTCGCCCTGTGAGGCTGTGCCTGCCAGGAGGAGGCAGCGCGCGAGGAGGCAGTAGGATTCAGTAGGCAGCGCACACCACCTCTCCCCCACTCCCCTCCCTTAAGCCTCTCCGTGTCCCCTCTCTCCTACCCACCGTTCCCCCCATTCTCTGCCCTTCTCTCTCCCCGCTCGCTCTGCCCCTGCCAGGAGAACCCAGCCGCCTAAGAGGTAGTGGAATTCGGTGGGCAGCGGACGTCACTGTAGGCGCACATCCCGTCACTGTAGGCGCACATCCCGTCACTGTAGGCGCACATCCCGTCACTGTAGGCGCACACTGTAGGCGCACATCCCGTCACCGTAGGCGCACATCCCGTCACCGTAGGCGCACATCCCGTCACCGTAGGCGCACATCCCGTCACCGTAGGCGCACATCCCGCCACCGTAGGCGCACATCCCGTCACCGTAGGTGTGAGAGTACGACGGCTTATGCTGGCTTTGCTAGCTTGCCTTTACTTTATTATGCATTATCTAGCTTAGCTTTGCTTGATTTTGCTTGCTTTTGCTAGATTTCCTAGGTTCGTTGCTTTTACTATATTTATTATAGTTATAGGCACCGAACTAGGTTGCGTACACCGAATTCTAGGCTTTTCGGTTGCCACCGAATTGCCTTCTACCGAATTCGGGAAAAGTCTGTTCGGGACGCTTCGCGACCCTCGGAACCTTCGCGTAACACCTGGTTACTAGGCCTTGTGTCGAGCCTATATATAGCCTTGTGTTGTACCCAGGTGATCATTCAATTCAATTCTCTTTTCTGAGCTCGATCCTAAGATCCTCACACTTGGTAATCAGAGCCTGTTTACACGAGAGTATTTCTACCACTAAATCCTAGCTTTTAAAACCGCGGGGGCGACGACGAACGCGCCGATTTCGGGTACGTAAACCAATTCCGCGCTAGTTTTTAACGTCCCCCTCGAACCGGTTTTCGAATCCTCCTCAGGTCCTTTAGCAAAAAAGCTGGAATTTCAGCCGTCGGATCGATTTCGACATCAACGGCCCTCAGAATTTCGCCCAAAAAAGTTGGAATTTGGGGCGTCGGATCGAATTGTAGCTGAACGGCCGAGATCTGACGCGAATTTCGGCTAAGGGAGAATTACGCGACTAGCAGAAACGGCGCTCGACATTTCTACAGTCGATTTTATTCGCAGTAAGTCGACCGGCGTCTAGATTTCAATTATTTCTGTCGCAAATCTTCCTGTAAATCGCCAAATGGAGGAAAATGGTGATAATTCCGTACGAAAAATTACGGAGTTACGCACCGACCTGGACCAGATGCGAGCGGCACTCCAGCGATTAGAAGAGCTCATCGCGAACCAGTCGGTAGCCGCCACAGCAGCAGCAGACGTAGCAGCGAATGCAGCAACGACGGCAGCAGCAGCAGCGGCAACACTGACACTTCACCAAGCAACAGCCACAGTGAATCTTGAGGCGGCACGTCCGAGGCTACCGGAGGCGTTTAATCCGAATGCGAGAGACGCCGACGTCCGTCGATTCATTGCGACACTCGAAATTTATTTCGAGGCCGTTGGCTGTACGACCCCGACACACGATGCAATGAGGATTCGGCTCGCAGCAACACTGTTACGAGGCCCGGCGCTCGAGTGGATTTACAACAGTAAGGAGATCCGAGGCGAGGGGTCATGGACGCAGTTTCGGGCAGCTTTAATTCAACGTTTCGAACCGATCAATTCCAGCTACATGGCGCGGCAGCAGATTCATCGGCATAAACAGTACGGCAGTGTAGCATAGTACACGCAGCAGATGGAGAGCCTCTTCAATCGAATTACCGACCTGACCGAAGGGGAAAAAATCCAAGCGTATACTGAGGGGCTAAAAATGGAAGTACAACGACAGGTGATCGCTGCGAATTACAACAACTACCGCGACATGGTGTGTGCAGCAGAGAGATTCGATGCGTTGACGCGAGGCCTACCCGAGATACGACGCCACGTGCCGAACAGATCATTCGACACGAAGCGATCGGCACCACCCACGACCGCCAACCCGATGGATAACGACAAGATCGAAGCGAAGCAGTGGCCGACAAAAAATGAGAAGTGCGAATTTTGCGGCGCAGCGGGACATCGACTCTTGGCGTGTTGGAAAATGAAGAAGGCACGAGCAGAGCTGCAGGGCAACAACAGTGCGGCACCCACGAAGTCAACAAACGTGGCGACTTCGGAGAGGGCGAAAAAAGGAGAATATGATGGCGCGAATTCAAAACGTCACGACCGGCCGGCACCAGGGGAAATCGCCGAGACAAATGGAGGCTCCGCGAAACAAGACTCTGCACCGACCGGGAAACTCCAGCCGAACACCCACGAAAGTAAGAATTCGTTAAAGTTATCCTATAAAGATACTTTAACTAAGAATATTACTTCTCGTGATTTTCAAGCCTTTAGGGGAGATTTAGAGGCTAAGAAAAAGCCCTCAGAGATTATTCAGGTACCTGAGAAGTTGGGCAAACCACTCCGGAGCGTTGAAACGGGTCGTGCGTTCCAAGGAGTTAATATTCTCTCCCCGCAGCACAGTGTTAAGGCTCCCCATTGCCCACAGGAGAAGCCTACACAGCTGCAACGGCTTAGGGGAAGGTTCCAGGCCAAGACGAAGCTGAATCGGCCTCGGATAAATCCTTCCAACCCTTCTCAATTGAAGACTGATATTCAGTCAGCAGCTTCGAGCGCAGGACCTAGGGATGATCTATTCGACGTACCCTATGATCCTGTAAGCGAGACCATCTACGGTTACTCGGAGCAGCAGCAGCCACTACTCCTCGAGGTGATCTGCAACGGGCGACGCCTCCAGGCACTGGTGGACAGCGGTGCGTCCCACTCGGTGTGTGACCGCGGGACGTTGGAGAAAATTGGAGAGAAGTCAGAGGAGACCCGATTTTCAGCAACGATGGTGGACGGTACGAAGCTTCCCATCCACGGCGAAGCATCACTGCAGCTGCATATAGGTGCGTTACGATGGAAGCCGACGTTGCCGATCACGAACATCAAGGGTTTAGATTTCATCTTGGGGCGAGATTTTCTGAAGCGGTTCAACCCCGAGATCGACTGGGTCAATCGAAAGGCATGCATTTACAACAACGGGAAACGAGTGGAGCTGCGAAGCTGGACGGATACAGGGGATGTTCCTGAAATGACACTGGCACGGTTCGAACGGACGGTGAACGAGAGTAACACGGGTTACTTAGCACTGGTCATGGCAGCAGCAGAGGAGGAGAAGCTGAGTTCGGAGCTTCCTGCAGCAGTGAAGGAGGTCTTGGAGCAGTACAAGGATATAATGCCCGACGACCTACCTGCAGGCGTACCTCCAGCACGCACCCACGAGCACGAGATCGTGGAGGAACCAGGTGCGAAACCCGTCTCACGTGCACCATACCGACTGAGTCCGACCGAACTGACAGACATGAAGAAGCAGATAGAGTATTTACTGGACAGACAACTGATCCGCCCATCCACCTCCCCCTGCAGTGCACCGGTTCTCTTCACACCAAAACCAGACGGCAGTTTACGTGTGCATCGACTACCGCGCACTGAACAAACAGACAGTTAAAAACAAATACCCCATACCGCGCATCGACGACTTACTGGACCAACTGCGTGGTGCAACAGTCTTTTCGAAGCTGGACCTACGGTCGGGTTACTGGCAGATCAAGATGGCGGACAATTCGATCCACAAGACGGCGTTCCGTACGCGATACGGCTCCTACGAATACTTGGTGATGCCGTTCGGACTCTGCAACGCACCAGCGACGTTCCAGGCGGAGATGAACCACATCCTACGGCCCCTGCTGGACGAGTGCGTAGTAGTGTACCTGGACGACATCCTCATCTACTCTAAGAACATGAAGGAGCACGTGGAGCATCTGCGGAAGGTGTTCGAGATCCTGCGGAAGAAAAGGTTCTACGTGAAGCTGTTGAAGAGCGACTTCGCACTGGAGAAGGTGCAGTTTCTCGGGCACATGGTGAGTGCCAAGGGCGTACACGTGGACCCGCGGAAAATCGAAGCCGTCAAAAAGTGGAAGGTTCCGGAGAACGTGAAAGAGTTGCAGCAGTTCCTCGGCTTCGCCAACTACTACAACAGGTTCGTGCCACAGTACGCTAAGATAGCAGCGCCACTGACCGACCTACTGAAAAAGGACACGCCCTTCAAATGGGGTGCTCCTCATCAGCAAGCCATGGAACAGCTACAGACAGCACTGACCACAGCGCCAGTACTCATCCTACCGGACCCCGACAAGGACTACGTAGTTGAAGCAGACGCTAGTGACCAGGCAGTCGGAGCAGTACTGATGCAGGATCACGGGAACGGTTTACAGCCTATCGCCTACCTCAGTAAGAAACTGCACGGAGCAGAACTGAACTACCCCATTCACGACAAGGAAGCCTTAGCTATAGTCGTAGCCTTCAAGGCGTGGAGGTGTTACCTAGAGGGAGCCAAGACCACAATCTATACAGACCACTGCAGTCTCAAATACCTGAAGTCGCAGCCGACGCTCTCACGACGACAGGTGCGGTGGGTGGATTTCTTGGAGACCCACTTCCACTACGACATCGTCTACAAACCCAGGCTACACAACAAGGCAGACGCGCCCCGGTCATGTAGCAGGCATCCAGCTCGACGGGATGAACCCTCTGCTCAAGGGTCTATTCCAACATGGGTACTCCGTGGACGGCGAAATAGCAACGGCAGAGAAACAGAAGCTGTTACAGTGGGAGAAAGACTTAGCGGTAAGGAAGGGTTCAGGAAAGATTTGGGTACCGAATTACGCCCCGCTACGGCAGATCCTATTGGAGGAGTTTCACGACGTACCATATGCGGGACATTTCGGGAGCAACAAGACGTTAGCGGGAATAGCAAAGTATTACTACTGGCCCCGGATGGCAGCAGACGTGCAGCAGTTCGTCACCTCATGCGACACGTGCCAGCGGATGAAGAGTAGCAAGCAGAAAAAAGCAGGGTTACTTCAGCCTCTACCCGTACCGGAGCAGCCATGGCAGGTCGTTAGCTTAGACTTCATCACGTTACTTCCTTCGACCTCCCGAGGACACGATTCCATCCTCGTCGTGATCGATAAGTTCTCTAAAATGGGTCACTTCATACCGACCAACGCCACAGCTACAGCTGAAGCAACTGCTCGACTCTTCTTCGACCGCATCATCACCATCCACGGCATCCCCACTACACTCATCTCAGACAGAGATCCCAAATTCACGAGTAAGTTCTGGAAGGAGCTTATGGGATTGTTGGGGACTAAGCTTGCGATGTCTTCAGCATACCATCCCCAGACTGACGGACAGACAGAGCGACTCAATCAGGTGGTTGAACAGTTACTGCGCACAGCTTGCAAGGATGAGATCAGCCACTGGGATCAACAGTTACCGACCCTAGAGTTCCCTTACAACAACGCCTCGCATGCGGCCACAGGAAAAACTCCTTTCTTCCTGTGCTATGGACGGGAACCACTCACACCACAGCAGCCAACCACACCGGCACACGTCCAAGCCGCACACGACTTCGTCACCACCATGCAGCAGCTATGGGAGAAGACTCAGCGGCGTCTCACCACGATGCAGAACTCCCAGAAGCAGTATGCCGACCGTCAACGACGAGATCACTCAGTAGCAGTCGGAGATCAGGTGCTTCTTGACACGCGCAACTTGAACCTGTCTCACCTACCATCCAAACTCTGGCCTCGCTTCTGTGGTCCATTTCTCGTGGAGGCACAGGTGACACCAGTTACATTCCGCTTGCGCTTACCAGATACGTGGAAGCTTCACAACGCTTTCCATGTTCAGCTACTGAAACCCTACAAGGACCCCAACCAACAGTTCCAGGGACGGCAGCTACCGCCACCACCACCTGTTCTTGTGCAGGATGAACCGGAGTACGAGATCGAGCGCGTTCTCACTCATCGGCGCCGCGGCGGCAAGACCCTCGAGTTCCTGATACGCTGGAAGGGATACGACCCCATTGAGAACAGTTGGGTTGCAGAAGCTGGTATGGGCAACGCACACCGTGCTCTCAAGGACTATCTTGTCAAGCAGGGTGTATCTCACGCCACCCAGATTTGAGGGGGGGACGTGTGAGAGTACGACGGCTTATGCTGGCTTTGCTAGCTTGCCTTTACTTTATTATGCATTATCTAGCTTAGCTTTGCTTGATTTTGCTTGCTTTTGCTAGATTTCCTAGGTTCGTTGCTTTTACTATATTTATTATAGTTATAGGCACCGAACTAGGTTGCGTACACCGAATTCTAGGCTTTTCGGTTGCCACCGAATTGCCTTCTACCAAATTCGGGAAGGGTCTGTTCGGGACGCTTCGCGACCCTCGGAACCTTCGCGTAACACCTGATTACCAGGCCTTGTGTCGAGTCTATATATAGCCTCGTCTTGTACCCAGGTGAATCATTCAATTCACATTCTCTTTTCTGAGCTCGATCCTAAGATCCTCATAGTAGGCGCACATCCCGTCACCGTAGGCGCACATCCCGTCACCGTAGGCGCACATCCCGTCACCGTAGGCGCACATCCCGTCACCGTAGGCGCACATCCCGTCACTGTAGGCGCACATCCCCTCACTGTAGGCGCACATCCCGTCACTGTAGGCGCACATCCCGTCACTGTAGGCGCACATCCCGTCACTGTAGGCGCACACTGTAGGCGCACATCCCGTCACTGCAGGCGCACATCCCGTCACTGCAGGCGCACATCCCGTCACTGTAGGCGCACATCCCGTCACTGTAGGCGCACATCCCGTCACTGTAGGCGCACATCCCGTCACTGTAGGCGCACATCCCGTCACTGTAGGCGCACATCCCGTCACTGTAGGCGCACATCCCGTCACTGTAGGCGCACATCCCGTCACTGTAGGCGCACATCCCGTCACTGTAGGCGCACATCCCGTCACTGTAGGCGCACATCCCGTCACTGTAGGCGCACGTCCCGTCACTGTAGGCGCACGTCCCGTCACTGTACGTCCCGTCACTGTAGGCGCACATCCCGTCACTGTAGGCGCACATCCCGTCACTGTAGGCGCACATCCCGTCACTGTAGGCGCACATTAGCGGGCTGTAGGCAGTGCATCCGCCGCCCTGCCATCATGTGTGACTGCCAGGCTGGGCGTCTACCATTGTGTGTCATGGCCTGGGTCTGCGGGGAGTGATAAGCCCAGTGCAATGATGAATGGTGGAAGTCATGTAGTTGTAGTGGTGGCTCATGGCTTCTGGACCGAGAGGATGTCTCCCAGGGCAATCGTGTGTCGTGCGTCTAGCCTGCTCACGTTGGTCTCTGTTGCCTGCTGAGGCGTCGCGGGTCTTGGTGAAGCCGCCACTGGGTCCTCTCGCCTTTTATCAAACCTGCCTTTAGAGAATTGATTCTGCGTCCTCTCTCCTTTTGTCAAACCTGACTTGACACCTCTGCCAATAGCACAGTATTCTCCTCATAACTATCATACATCATCCCATCAACCCATCACCTTATCATCCTTCCACTCCTCCAACACATTACCTCACTACCCCATCATTCCATCGCACCATCAACCCGTTTCCCCATCACACTATCATCTTATTACCCCGCTAATCCCCCACCGTGCCCTTGCACGAGCTCTTGCCCTCACTGCAATGACTGATGCTACACAACTTGGCAGGTCACTGCCTGCCTTGCCCTTGCATGTGTCCAACTGCCTTGCTTGCACGATGCACAGGCTACAACAACCCAGCAGCCAGAAGATCCGTGCATCTTCACTTTCCTCCCTCTCTCTCCCTACTTCCCAGCCCACTCACCACCCGCCCCACGTCCACCGCATCATGGTAGGGCACTACGTTGTGCACCTCTCCCTGCCCTAACTCGCGTTCCCTCCCTCCCTCGTTGCTTTGTCATTGCCCACCCACTCCTTACAACCCCCTGCACCACTTCCATCCCATCATGGCCGGGCGCCACGACATGCGGCTCTCTACTGTTCTGCATTCCCCCACCCCCTCCCACCAACCCACTTCTTCCCAGCCCTTCCAGCACATCATCGCAGGGAGCTGCAACGTGGACCTCTCCCCGCCGTACCGCACTTTCTCTCGCTCATTGTTCCTCATTGTTCCTCATTGTTTCTTCCTCCTTCGTTCGTCTTACCCTCCATTCACCCACCCAGAGCCCCACACCTTTCCAGCTCTTACCCCCAGCGCATCATGGCAGGGCACCACGACATGGAGTCCACCTCTCCCCATGCATCAATCTGTGCATGGCAGCACGTCAAGCCATGCATGGCACCTCTCCCAGCCACCTGGACTGCCACGGCACTTCCATGCGCTCCCTCGTGGATGGGGGTGCTAGGCAGGTCTCGGCCTCTTGGCTCTTACCCGCTTTCCCCTCCCAGGTAGGTGGTGAGAAGAGGGGCATGCGAGTGAGGCGAAAGTCAAGGCAAGGCAGTGAGTGGGAAATACAGTGATGATCTGAGGGGCAAGGCTGTGTGGTGGGTGGGGGACGTGCTGAGTGGTGGATCGTGGATGCTGGAGGGCGGACGCCGGAGGGCGGACGCCGGAGGGTGGCTCGTGGCTAGTGGTGGTTGGTTATTGTTGGTACCGTAGATGGTGGGTGGTGGATGGGTAGAGGGTTGTTAGGAACGTGATGTGTTTGTGTGGGTGGGTGGGTGGTGGTCCTCCGAGCAAAGCCACTCTCTGTACGCGTTTTGAAATATGAGTGTTAAAAGCCAGAAGCGTGGGTGCCCCCTCATCTTCCATGCAACCCGGTCCTGCACGACTCGCACTATTGTCACCCACCTCACTGTAATCCCGACAGGGCCAAAAGCGGCAGCCACAAGGCCAGCGGGTCTTGTAGCAGGAACTACCCTCTTAAAGCAGTAGCTTTCTCAAAGGCGACTCTTCCATGCAGTGTGCTCTGCCTCATCTGTGTGTTTCCATCTCGTCCTCCCTGCCTTTTCTTGCACTGTATGTCTTCCCTTCGTGCCCTGCTTCGCCCACCCTTGCCTGCCGTCATCCCCCACCTCTCCTCCTCTCTCCTCTGCAGGCCCTATTCAGAAGACGTGCAGCCAAGATTGGTATTGTAACCCTTGTCACCGACTCCTTGGGCTGGGCCATGATCGCCCTCGAAGCGGTTTTTCTGGCAGGCAATGTGCTCTGCCTCTTCCCTGCCTTTATCGTCCTCGTCCTTCCGCAACAGCTAGGAGCTCCTCTCATCGCTCCATGAGATCTTGCCACTTGGCTGAGGGCAATTCGTGCTCAGATGGATGTTGTTGTTGACTGACAGTTTCTGATGCCATTAATAGCAGTGGCATGTTCTCTTCGTTTACCAGGAAACGGTAATCCCCTGGATTCATTGAAAAAACTAAGGTATACTTTTTAAAGGCATGTATTTTTATGACCCCCGCGCAGTATTATCAGCAGCGCATAATCGCCCAGGATGACCATGGTGTGAAAGAATATACTCATCAGGTCTAGCCCCATGCGTGCATTTCCCACTGAGGCGCCAATGAAGAGAACTGCGTGACACACGTCAGTTGAACTTAGTCCTGTGTAGAGCAGGTGGAGGGGATGGGTGCAAGTGAGCACGGGAAAAGAGTAGTGAGGAAAAGCCAGGGAAAGAGAGTGAAGAGGAACGCCAGTCACTTAATACACGAAACCTAGGTCACCCTAAACCATGCTCTCCAAGCAGTACAGCTGCTGCTACACAAGGTTCCTAGATGACTGGCAGCAAGCACAAATAAGCACGGCGGCACACAGCATCAAAGAACCAAACCCACAAATCTGCAAAGGAACTCCACACACATTCTTATTGTGGGTACCTCTGAGAGTTCTCAGCAGTGCTGCACAACGTGGATGACTTGCATTACAAGAAGCAGAGCAGCAAACATCCCAACAACCTGCAAAGCAAACTTCGCATACCCTCACTACTTGTAGCGGCATTCGCAAGCCTTGTCTGTGATGCATTCAATCAATGGTATACTTACCCAACACCCCCGATGCTCGCCTTGCCACCCACCTTGCCACTGCTGCTGCCACCACCCCGGCCACTGATCCTGCCAGGGCATGTGAGCTTGTGGGAGGACCAATGTGCCTTTTGGCACTCTCTGCTGCAATACGCCACCTTGCCACACCCACCGCACCTCCTCAGCTTCACACCACCACCACCCCCAACAGTCCCACACCCCACAGCACCGCACACACGCTCGCCACCCGGGGTGGAAGGGGCAGCAGGGGAGGCAGGGCGGTAGCACGGCTCCCCCAGCAGCATCTCTCGCAGACATGCCACCAGATTGACTCCCCCCGGCCATGCCTTCAGGTAAGCCGGCTCCTCCTCCTCCTTGCCCTTCCCATTATCCCCGGGGTCCCCTTTGTTGCTGCTGTTTCTGCTTTGCCAGTCACTTGCATGACTAATGCTGCTGCTCGCACTGCTCTTGCCGCTCCTGCTGCTGCCAATAGTACCGCTGATCCTTCTGCTGGCACCAGAAGGGCCAGCAAAACTCTGCACGTCTTCACTGAACCGGGCAGTCATAGCCCGAATCCACAACTCATGTCCCCACTCAGTCAAATACACCCCATCCTGACCAGCCAGCTCCCTTCTGTCCTTGCACGTGTCACCCAATCCCCGCATCACACTCTTCCACCTGCCCGGCCACGCAGACAGCAACGCAAGGCACCACGTCCTCACCTCCTCCCACACCATCCCGTCCTCCTCCTCTCCCCCCTCCACCTCTTCCCCACCACTCCTCACGCCCTTCCCCATTCCCTCACCCCGCTTCCTTTCTTCCCTCTCGACGTCCACTCCCAGTCCTTGATTTTGCTCCACCTCCCATTGCGACCTGAGGGCATTTTGCAAATCCGTGATTCCCAGGATGGAGAGAGGCCAGTTGCAAGCCACCTGCAGCAGAAAGACAATGGGGTGCTGCTCTGTCCGCGCCTGCAGCATTGGCAACCTTAGAAACCCAGGCAGGCCGGCAGGGAACGGCGGCAGGCCCATAAGACCAGTCAGCAGGGCGAATTGCGGAGAGCGTGGCGGGAAGATGGATACAAAGCGGTTGAAAAGGGTGGAGGCAGGTCGGTAGGCGTAGTTGGTGACCACACCGAGGAAGGGGATGTGGAGGTTATAGAGAGCAAAGCACAGGTTGCACTGCGTGCAAGCAGGAGGTTCAATCATGCACCCGGCAAACTCCACTAGGAATTCGGCATCGGCCGTGCAGCGAACGATGGGAAACTTCCACTGCACTAGCGGCAGCAGTCCTTTGAGCATCTGGTGTAAGAGTCTCTGATCTTCGCTTGTCATCCCAACGATTCTCTCTTTTTTCCCATGCCCTCTGCTCCTACCATCCAGCTTGACCTTCCCTTTGTCTCCTCCGTGCCCCTTCACGGTCCCCACTTTACTTCCTGCGTTTGACCCCTGTCCAGATGACCTCTCTCCGTCCGTCTCTCCTGTTCCGTGCTCCTCTAGTGTCCCCTTTGCTTCGTCCACAATCCCCAACCAAAAACATCTTGCACTCGGGTCATCAGGAAGGGTCACAGCAGCTTCATGTCCCCGAGGCCACTCCTCCCACTCCAAGGGGAGGTTCCTTTGGTCAAGAGGCTTCGGGATGGCGCCGAGCCTAACCAGCAGGCTTGGAAGTTCCCGAAGCGGGTGGCGCATGGGCCGGACCTTCCCCTGTAGGCTGTCCTTGCAGCAAGAAGCAGCGGGAATGAGTTCAGGCCCATAGGTGCGGGCCCACTGCAATATGCGGGCAGCACGATACGTGAAGACTGCAATGACGGGGTTGTTGTTCACAGGCACTGAACCCACCAGAGCAGCACCACTGGGTGCAAATGCTGCTTCCCCTGCTGGTGCTGCTGATGCCAATGCTGCTGGCAGTGGTGATGCTGTTGTTGCTTCCCCTATGTCTGCCGCCCCTCTTTCAACCCCTACCCTCCGTCTCATCAACTCCCTCCCCTTCTCAATAGCCGCATTCTCCACCCTTGTCTTGCTTGCAGTGTTCCCGTCTTGGAAGTAAATATTATTATCTGTGCGGTACTGTGGCATGGACAGCACTGCAGCAATGGAAAGAGCAAAGTCGGTCGCACCCACGCCACTCACATACATGCCCTTGGGAACATCCATGCCTTTCAAATTGCCCCTGCCGCCGCCGCCGCCGCCGCCGCCGCCGCCGCTGCTGCTGCTGCTGCTGCTGCTGCTGCTGCTGCTGTCACCATTTTTGCTGCCCCCCTCACTGCAGTGGCTGCACCGGAACTCCCTCCCTTTCCCACCTCCATTCTCCAAAAACCAAGACATGCCATCCACATACCTCTCCCACACACGCCCCTTCAGATGCTCCCTCCGCTGCCCACCCTTCCCGTCCCTGCCATCCTTGCAATCACCACCCATGCTCCCCAATCATTCCAGATTTCCATAATTCTCCTCCTGCCATTCACTCCCTCCTACCACAAATCCCCTGCCTGGTCCCCTCTTCCTCTCTGCATGCGCCTTTTCCAGCCCGCCTGACAGCAGATTATGCATGAGAGCACCGAATCCTTCCTCCAAATCCCTGTTTTCCTTCACCCCAAGGATTTGAACCAGCATGGAAGCGAAAACGTCCTTCTCCCTCTGCCTGCCTGCCCCTAGCGAAGTCACAATGACTGGATAGGCCTTGGAAGTTGATGCATGCGCCCTCCATAGAGTCACGAACCGTGGGCACCTCGCCACGAGCACGAGGGAAGCAGCGAAGCTGACAGCACGGCGGTAGGCAGCCCAGCAGCTGCTGCAGCGCCAGCAGCAGGACCACACTGTGGGGGCAGCAGTCGCAGCAGCAGAAAAAGCTTTCGTAGTAGTAGAGATATCTGCGGCACTTAAAAAAGCAGGCAGACGAGACCTGATCCTACTCATGTCCATGAGCACGCCCACACGAGGCTCAGCCATCCACTCTAGAAGCATGGCTTCAGCACAGAGCAAAGGGGCTACCTCACACTTGAGTAGGAAGTGCTTGTGAGGCGGCACTTCCAGCCGCGCTGCTGACTCCGGCAGAGGAACCTCCAACGAGAGCTCATATTTCGGCCGGGTCAGACGGTTGGGAGCAAGGGGGATGGACTCAGGCTGTCGCTCTCGCAAGTGAAAACGGAAGTCTTTGAGACTCGCCATGCTGAGGGCGTGCTGTGTGCGCTGGCTCACTGCACGGTCGAAGGAGCACTCACACACGGCCAGGTCCCACGCGGCTCCCACGTCCAAGTAATGAACCATTTCCGCCCGACACAGCAGCTGAAGCCCCTCTGACTCTTCCTCAGCTCTTGCTCTCTCTGGCCCCGCTCCTTTCTGCTCTTCCATCATCGGCTCCTCTTGGAATGCAAATGTCAAAAAATGAGGGTAATGAACTGTCAGCTCGTCCCATACCGTTTCAACAATCTGAGGAACGCAAGTGCTCGCACTGGCAACAGCGCCAGCAGCAGAAATCTGGGCCTTGCCCTTCCCCCCACCATTGCTACTACATCCTTTTTTTCCTTTCTCCTTCCGCTTCTCCCCTTCCTCCTCATTTTCATCATATCTGCTGGAATGCGAATGGTCGCATTTGCTGTAGTCGTTTTGGCGGGCGGGAGCAGCAGCAGGTGCACAGGCTGTGACGGTTGCAGCAACAAAAGGACGCGCAGCTGCAGCCGGTGAAGCAGCGTTAGCTTCAAGATGTGTACCAGCAGTATCAGCAGGAGCAGGAGCAGCAGCATCAGCAGGAGCAGCAGCAGCAGGAACAGTAGTAGCGGTACCAGCATCTTGAGGCGCGTCAACCGAAGGCGCCGCAGGTGGACCATTCAACCCTGCTGCAACGCCTGCTAATTCAACCTCACCCGAGCCTTCTCCATGATCGACTGCTTTCACGGGGAGCACTAGGATAATTGTACCCGTTATAAGCTTAGCTCGTTGTGCAGTTGCCTGAGGAGAAAGGTACGCGACTTGCCCAAACACCATGAAGCGGACGGACTGCTGCTGCTGCTCCGTTCGAACAAGAACTTCCGTCCCCGGTTTCACCCCAACGGATGCTCCCGGCTGCTGACGTGTCTCGCATGGTAAGCAGCAGTGTGGCAGATGTGTCTGAAACAGTCTGTTGAAGACTAGCTCCGTAGGAGAAACTGTCAGGGCGACATCGTGGGAGGCTCGAAAAAACTCATTCTCAGACGAGGTTTCGTGGTTTCTTCGAATGACGTCACTCCGGCTAATTACGTCATCATGACTGCTGACGTCAGTACAGCTGGTGCAACCCCCTGTGCTAAGGTCGACAGATCTATTGTTGTCCGATCCGCGTCGGATCAGATTAGCTGGGATTCTGAAACTGACCTCTAACGCCATAAGCAGTCACAACTCGATGAGGTGACGCCTTCAAAGGCACGTCAGAAGTTAGGAAATACTCGAGGAAAGGCTATGAACCAAGACTTCCTTCTCGACTACCCTATATCATCTTTACGAAATTCTGGTTCCCTCTGAAATGCATGTCGACTCGACAATGCGGCACGCTGAAACTTCTCCGCAAATTTCGTACATGGGGTATCGCGAGCCACAGCTCTGAAAGTATCGCCCTTTAAACTGATACAACTTGGTAACGACATATCAACTACTATATCCCAGCTAGTATAAGCCATTTCCAAGCACATCATGGCGCGACGTGAAGCGCAATGGGCGGTAGCATAGGGTGGAAGGATGCTGAAAAGATTACTAGAAATGATAACCTAGGACTTCATCTTCGTAGCGCTGGTTGCGAAAATAGCGGATTGTGTAACAGTGCAGCAGCCGAATGCTGCCAACTGCAATGCAGGTGGGCGGAAGTCACTCGTAACAGTGCAGCAACACACTTCCAAGAACAGTGCAGGTGGGCGGAAGTCAAGCGCCACCTCACCTACAGTTCGGATTGGTCAAACGCCTCAACCTGCAGCTGGGCGACCAGATTCCGACACGCAGCCCAAGTCAATCCCACGCACGAAAATTACGAAACGCAGGACACCAAAGTTCCGACCGCTCGCCGACTTCGCCAACAACACCGACGAAATTACAGCCCAAGCTCGCCCCGTAACCAAGCTCGCCGGCCAATCCCGTACCGCAATAATTCTCTGAATTTCACGGCAGGTTCATTTCAAAGGGTTGGGTTACCATTGAGAAATTCAGAGAAAGTCGCGACTTGGGAGTGCGACTCGATGTTTGAATGTGCTCTATAAAATTGTACTCTGAAATTTGTGAAGTCATAATGCAATTTCCAGAAAATTCCAGAGAGCACTCTATACTCATTCTCCAAGCCTACTAAGGCTACTATCTCCCTGCCAGCAACGTTTCACTGGTAATCAGAGCCTGGTTTGTTATTTCGCACGCTCCTGCCATATTCTAGACCCTATGGCTGGGCCGTCGGATATGACGCCGGAACTCTGGAACGAGTTTGTTGCTAATATGCGCCGAGAGATTGAACGCGAGGTGCGTGACCGGATTCTCGGCGAACTCCAGGAACGTGGACTCCTGGGCACACAGGTGCCGGCGCCAGCACCTGCTGTGGTTTCTGCACGACCGAAGGCACCCGAACCTGAACCGTTCATCCCTGGAAAACGTCACTTACCGGTGCGACGGTGGCTTTTCCAAGTGGAGGAATACCTCTCCCTTTGTCATGTCAACCGGGCGGAGTGGGCTCGGCACGCCGGCATGATGCTGCGGGGAGCTGCTGCTACTTGGTGGCAGAGCTGCCACGCTACAATTTCAACATGGGAAGAATTTTCTGCATCGCTCCTAATGAACTTCGAACCGGTCAACGCCATCGAGCGCGCGCGTGACAACCTTGCTGATTTACGCCAACACCGCTCGGTCGCTGAGTACATCAATCGCTTCCGCGAGCTCGTGCTTGAGATTCCTGACATCCCTGCTGCTGAACAGATGGACAAATTCAAGCGTGGGCTGAAGCCGAAAATCCGCACCGAGGTTGAACTTCGTGGCGCTGCGACGCTGGATGAGATGATTCGTGTCGCCGAGCGTTTTGACACCATCAACTTCGCAGCGTACCAGCGATTCCAAGGGCGAACCGGGCAGCACGCAGTAGCTGGACCTACTATCCGCACCAACGGTCCTACTCCCATGGAGCTCGGTGTGGTGGACCAGCGCACACGCAACCAATCCACGCTCACGTGCTACTCGTGCGGGAAAGTCGGCCACATCAAGCGACACTGCCCGAACCGCCGCAACTTCGAAAGGTCTCCGGGAAACGGACAGCGCCAGTAGCAGTGGGGCAGACCTCTGGCGCATCGCATGCCCCGCTTCTCCCGACCCCATTATCCATCGGCACCTCCGAACTCTACACCACATCAAACGCCCCATTCCCCGCTATCATTCTATGGGCAAAAATAAAGGATCGCTATGTTGACTTTCTACTCGATACCGGCGCTTCAGCAAACTTTCTCTCTCCCTCTATTGTGGCTGAACTTTCTCTTCCCGAAGATCCCAACAGCAACCCACAGGACGTCATCATGGCAGATGGTACTCGGCGGCGCTGCGGACCTACTCTCCTCCCCGTGCACTGCATATTCGGAAGTCTGGAGGCGACGGTCACGTTCGAGCAAATGCACCTCGGCGGCTATGAAGGCGTGCTCGGACGACCGTGGTTGTACCAGCTTGGACCGCGAATTTATTGGCGTAACGCAACGGTCACCGTCGGCAACTACGACCTCCCATCCCGCTCCTACCGCCGCCCATGGTCATCCCCAACAACTTCAGCCTCATCAACCCATCCACCCCAACCTGCCCCACCTCCAGCCTCCCATATCCCCCCTCTTCCTCCTCCTCTCATAGCCCCCGCGCAGCAGCCAACACCACCCGGCTCCCCCGAAGTCATCAACACACCTCCTCCTTCCCCACCCCACCCAACCCAGCAGCCACGCCGTTACCTCTTCCGCCCTTTCTCTGAAGTTATCAACCCACCAGCCCCCACCCCTCCTTCACCACCTCCTCCTCATCATCTCCTAGTCATCTTCACGGCTCCCGAATCTGAAGCATCAGCTACCCCTCTGCCACCAACAATTCAGAATCTTCTAAACGGTTATAAGGACGTTTTTCCCGATGATCTACCCGCCGAACTTCCACCCGAACGTGCTATTGACCATAGCATCCGCCTCATTCCAGGTTCTACACCGCCCGTGCGCCCAACCTATCGCATGAGCACCGCTGAACTTTTGGAGCTACGCCGACAACTTGATGGCCTTCTTGAGAAGGGTTTCATCCGCCCAAGCACCTCGCCATACGCTGCCCCCGTACTTTTCACTCGCAAGAAGGAAGGTGACCTGCGTCTTTGCATCGACTACCGCGCCCTCAACGCCATCACGATCAAGAACAAGTACCCGCTGCCCCGTGTCGAGGAGTTGTTTGACATGCTTGGGGAAGCAACGGTTTTCAGCAAGCTTGACCTACGCTCCGGCTACCACCAGATCCGCCTCGCCGAAGACGACATCAACAAGACGGCGTTTCGAACCCGCTACGGCCACTTCGAGTTCCGAGTACTTCCGTTCGGTCTCACCAACGCACCAGCCACGTTCATGGGACTCATGAACGATATTTTTCGGCCCTTCCTCGACCGCTTTGTCATCGTGTTCCTCGATGACATCCTCATCTTCAGCAAGTCACTCGAGGAACACGCTCAGCACCTACGCATCGTCCTCGACACGCTCCGCCAACACCGCCTCTACGCCAAGCTCTCCAAGTGCACCTTCGCCCGTTCAAGCATCGGCTTTCTTGGCCACGTCATCAGCTCCAAAGGCATTGCTATGGACCCCACAAAGGTCCAGTGCCTTGCTGATTGGCCAGCACCACGCACGGTAGCGGAGCTGCAAAGTTTCATCGGCCTCGCCAAGTATTACCGAAAGTTCATCTTCAACTTCTCTCACATCTGCGCTCCGTTGACCGATCTCTTCCGCCAAGGAGCTGTTTTTCAGTGGGGACTACCGCAGCAGACCGCTTTCACCGCAATCAAATCGGCACTCACCTCTGCACCGGTCCTAACCGTTGCTGATCCATCACGGCCATACTTCATATGGACCGACGCCTCCGATGTCGCTGTTGGTGCCATTCTTTGCCAAGACCACGGACATGGGATGCAGCCACTCGCATTCGAGTCACGCAAGCTTCAACCGGCAGAGCGCAACTACGCAACACACGATCGGGAGCTCCTTGCCATTGTCCATGCAATCAAGACATGGCGACACCGACCATCGCCCACATCAACACTTGAAAACGCAGCCCGTGCTCAGCCGCCGCCAAGCCCGATGGGTTGAGTTCTTGGAGCAGTTTGTCCCATCGCTTCAGATCATCTACCACCCCGGGAAGCTCAATCCAGCCGACATCTTGTCCCGGCCACCACCACCAGCCCCACCAGCCACCAACCAGCCCCACCCACCCACCAACCAGCCCCAACACTCCCCAACCAGCCCCACCTCATCTCCTCCACCTAAAACTCCCAACCCACCCTTGCAACTCCATGGAACCAGCAGCATCACATGGGATGATACCTTCATCACAAAGTTTCAGCGCGCCTACAAACGTGACCTGTTTTTTGTCAAGCAAGCACCCGAGGACCCGGCCTACTCATTTGAAGACCCATTTTGGTACAACGCCGTTACAAAGACCATTTGTGTCCCTGCTGATCGCTCCTTACGGCAGCTGCTACTTTCCGAATACCACGACACCGGCAGCCACTTTGGTGTTGAGAAGACCTACGCACGCCTTTCCAACGACTACCATTGGCCACGCATGCACGCTGATGTGCGTGACTTCATACGCACATGCCGAACCTGTCAACAACTCAAAGCACGCACCACCAACCGCTACGGACTCCTTCAACCTATCCCTCCACCTACCAAGGTGTGGGATGAAGTCACCATGGACTTTATCATGGACCTGCCCCGCACACCCCGCAACTACAACGCCATCCTAGTCGTCGTTGACCGACTCTCCAAAATGAGCCATTTCATCCCCACGCACACAACCGTCACCGCACCCGAAACAGCCCGGCTTTTCTTCGATCACATAGTCCGTTTACACAGCCTCCCATCCGCCATCATTTCAGACCGTGACCCTCGCTTCTTGAGCAACTTTTGGCAAAGCCTCTTTAAGCTTCACGGCACCCGGCTGAAATTTTCTACCGCATATCACCCTGAAACGGACGGACAAACTGAACGGATGAACCGCACGCTTGAAGACGCCCTTCGTGCACAAGTTAACGCTCGCCAAACCGATTGGGACCTCCACCTCACCGCCATCGAACTCGCATACAACAGCACACCCCATCTTTCCACCAGCCAGCCACCCTTCTACCTCGCAACCGGACAGCACCCACGCCTCCCAACGACCCCACCCTCCCACCTCTCCCACGCACCAGCAGCCTTTGAGTTCCTCACCTCACTCGAATCAGCCATTGATGCCGCTCGCACCTCCATCCTTAAAGCACAAGCCAAACAGACCCACTATGCCAACTCCCACCGCAAAGATATCCGCTTCAAGGTTGGCGATCAAGTGCTTCTCTCCACGGACCACTTACCTCTCCTACGCAAAGGCACAACCAGAAAACTCGCCCCTCGCTTCATTGGCCCGTTCACTATCACCCGAGTCCTCTCACCAGTCAACTACCGGCTCCAACTGCCCAGCTATATGAAGATTCACCCCGTCTTCCATGTCCAGCGCCTCCGCCCTTATTGTGCACCTTCACACGACCGTCCAGCCACACGCCACCTGCCACCGATGTTCGAAGGCAGCCCCGGCCTGTTTGAGGTTGCATCTATCACTGCTCACCGCGACACACCTCATGGTCGTGAGTTTCTTGTTCATTGGAAGGATCAGCCTGCTAGTGAGGACTCATGGGAACCTGAGAGCCACCTTGACCGTGCTGCAACTGCCGTGAACCGTTACTTGACCAGCCATGGTTTGGCGCCGTGGACGACGCCACTTGGAGGGGGAAGTAATGTAACAGTGCAGCAGCCGAATGCTGCCAACTGCAATGCAGGTGGGCGGAAGTCACTCGTAACAGTGCAGCAACACACTTCCAAGAACAGTGCAGGTGGGCGGAAGTCAAGCGCCACCTCACCTACAGTTCGGATTGGTCAAACGCCTCAACCTGCAGCTGGGCGACCAGATTCCGACACGCAGCCCAAGTCAATCCCACGCACGAAAATTACGAAACGCAGGACACCAAAGTTCCGACCGCTCGCCGACTTCGCCAACAACACCGACGAAATTACAGCCCCGTAACCAAGCTCGCCGGCCAATCCCGTACCGCAATAATTCTCTGAATTTCACGGCAGGTTCATTTCAAAGGGTTGGGTTACCATTGAGAAATTCAGAGAAAGTCGCGACTTGGGAGTGCGACTCGATGTTTGAATGTGCTCTATAAAATTGTACTCTGAAATTTGTGAAGTCATAATGCAATTTCCAGAAAATTCCAGAGAGCACTCTATACTCATTCTCCAAGCCTACTAAGGCTACTATCTCCCTGCCAGCAACGTTTCAGATTGGCTGCAGAAAGAGCCGCTGGGTTTTGAACAAGGCGGAACCGCCAACATCAGGCATGGAGATGAGATGTCGGCATAGGGTCAGCGACATTCGCTGGCACTGAGAATCAGGGCTTCGCAAATTCACGACGAGTTACTTTCCGTCCTCAACGAATCCATCAAAAGGAATGAGACGGGTAAGAAATGCACAGAGTACAGCGCTCTTCGAAATTGTTTCAGGTCATCAAACACCGAGTTACAAGATCATTTGTGATTACCGTATGAGACCTATAAAAGAAAGTAAAAAAAATCGTATGAATAAAACAATACACTTTCTACATTCCAATACTGCTACCGAACTTCAATGAGCTCTCCGCCATAGCTGCTGCTTTAACTTCGACACGCTCAATGTCTACTAAGATTGCATTCCTTGTCCGGACACCATCCGAAGTTCCGACACTTTTAGCGGTTTTTTAATGTTGTATGGTTACTACCCATGTTTTTACTTGACCCAAACACCATGCTGGAAATTTTGTAATGCTGAGAAAGAACGCACAAACTTTTTCACAACGTGAGTACACTTTACGCTACACGTGTGCGTGAGTATGAGTGAGCAAGGTTGACAGTCCACCCAACAAATTCCTCGAGTCTCGGTTCCTTCTGGGTAAGTTGGGTTCGCGCATCCATGAAGCCTAAAACTACGAGGTAACTCTGTTTCTAGACTTTCAAACGAAACTAAATAAAAAACAGCTCAAGATGTCCGAACTTCGGATGGTGTCCGGGCAAAAAATGCAATCTAATTTCCAGCCTAATGGCACATTTTTTCGGATCTTATTGTTCAGCTCGACTAGCGCTTAAAGAAGATACCGTTTTTGTGTTCATAGAGTGAACATTGGTGAATCTTACCGAGTCGCATGAACTATCAAGGTACACGCCTTATCAAGCTTCTTAATAACATCATAGCGCTTCGGTTTCAGGCAGCCTAGCATGGATTGGCTTATGGATCCTGACCCGCCTGATTTACGGTGTTTGTTATCCTGGTCATCGAGATCGTCATTATCCCTCGGTCTTGGCTCAACTACACAAGGATCAGGCTACTCACACTTTCAAGCAACAACAGCAACCAGCTATATAAACAAAGGCAGCGACAAGACCGATTTCATACTCGTGCTCAGAGGAGGTTTATCATCAAGCTTCCGATCAAGCCTGTTCCTCCGTTATCATCATTGCACAACAGCGGGAGGACGACGCAACGGACGGGGTGGTGGGAAGACTGGAGGGAAGGTTAACGACACTGCTGGTAACACTCCTTTGACCAGCGCAGAGCGCTCTCCTGAGAAGAGTCCAGTGGTGTCGGCGCAGGCCTCGCCCCAAACTCTCCCCAAGACGGCGGCGAACGATGTGCTGGGAGAGGCGGCGAAGGTCTCCTAGCAGGAACGTCTGTCTAGTTTGAAGGCCAACGGGCTTAAGGACAATGAGGAAGGAAATGAGACACAGCAACCGCAGCCGAGCACGTCCGCTGGTGGATCGCCGAATCCTGTGACAACGGCACCTGCGACGGCGGCAGAAGGTTGCAGCAAATATGTGGATGAAGATGAGTGCTGGGACAGTGACGACGATCATGACTTCGACCCAACTGCGGTCAGCCTGCTCGCGTCTCAAGTTAGCTTCCCGCTTACGCTTCTGATTCTTATTCAATGGGAGAGCGAGGTCCCGAAGCTGAAGCCTACGGTCATTGCGCACCTGGATCACTGGAAGTCTTCGCTGACGGCGGACGCGCAGACAACCACGAAGTATCAAGAAATGCTGCCGGTGTGGTTGTCAAAGGAGAGATACGGTCGGCTTCAAGTTACCTTTCAGCACGCGAGCGATGCGGCTTCGATTTGGCGGCGCTCCATTGAGCATGATATGGGGAAAGGAGTTACTCTGACGCTCAACTGGCAGCACCCGGAAAACACGACATATAGGAAGGAGTGTCACTAGAACCCAGACGCGGTGGAAGTGCTGTTGAAGTCTGTTCCGGCTGGCGTGTCTCCAGAGCTGGTCCGTAAGATGCTGACGGAGGTCGTGCTACTTAAGAAATGGAAACCCGCGTTTAGCAAAGGCGTGGGCTTCCACAGAGTGCAGGACCCTGTTACCCGTATCGATACTGACAAAATACGTGACCTGGTGATCGAGCACGAGAATGACGACGACTCATGGCGTCATGCGGTTGCGGATTTGTCAAACCCCAGGAGGAAACTGATGGTTCACTATCATGCACTCAGCTGCAGCTACTGCAAGGGTCAGCATCAAAGTCAGTAACACAATGCTTATGTCACGGAGCGTCAATCCAGCATCGAGAAATGGACCTTGTCTGTCACAAAGGTTCATGCCATCAACGGTATCAGTGTCTCGCATTTCTCACCTTTGCCGCTTCTGTTTTTTCCTTCGACTTTTACTGACGTCTCGGCTCAAATCCCTCCTTGCAGCTGCATCGCTGAAAGTCGCAGCGTTAACGAAAGATATTATGAAGGACCTGGCCATCGTTCTTACCTCCACAGGGGGGTCGCGGGAGGATTGGGTGTGTGTGATCGCCGCCTGCGACAAAGTGCAAGGTGCCATCTTCGAGCAGGCATCTGCTCACGTTGCATCGCACCGTCACAAGACGAACCTGACAAAGCCAGGTGCTGCTACCCGCGCCAGCAAAGGTGCTCTCAACCTGGGAGCGTTCCGCAAGGAGTTTGCCAAGTGATCGCCCGATTGTCGTTATCCTGGAGTTATACACCTGCAGGAGTACAGAGGGGAGAAGGATGGCAGCTCAGTTTTCGCTTCGGCTGTATTAGCAGTAGTGGTAGTTTCCGTGCTGTGCAGTTCAATGGTGCGGCCGGTGACAGCGGTGCGTGTGTATCAGGAGTCTTGTATCAGTTCCCAGCCCCGTGGATGCGAAGGGGCTTCTCGCCTGTTTTTTAAATGAGTAAGAAGAACTCGATCAGGTTTTGCGAGCTCAACATCAATGGACTCGGCAGCGCAGGGAAGCAGAAAAAGTGCAAAGACTGGCTAAAGAACAAGGCGGATATTGGAATACTTACAGACACGCGCACTCAGCCTGACCATAATTTCTGGACTCAACTGAAGTCGTCCGCGGCGGTGGCCGTGGGGCCAGCTGGGTCGACAGGAGGAGTAGCAGTGGTGAGCTTTGTGCTTGGGATGAAATTCACGGACACATACACACATGTATCAGGGAAGTTGGTGGGGGTGGTGGTCCGTTGGGGAGACCTAGAGCTGCTCCTGGTTGTGTTGTACTCACCGGTGCAACCGGAGAACAGGGCCCCTTTCTACAAGGACTGCCTAGGGCCTTTCCTGGACACCTTACCGAAGATGCTGAACGTCCTGGTGATGGGCAACATGAACGTGGTGGAGGAAACGGCGCTGGACAAAGTCAACAGGAGTGGGGCTGTCGGCAGAAAACTGGAGGCTGTTGAGCTACTGGGCGAACTCCCCGCTCACTGATGCTTTCCGCTTTATGCACCCTGGGAAGAGGGAGTATACTTTCCACATGAGGGCAAAGGGGGTGAGCACCAGAATTGATCGCGCGCTGGTGTCAAAGCCATTGCTTTGCAAGTTGGTGGATGTGCGGCACACGGACATTACAAACAAAATGACGGATCATTGGAGCACGGTGGTGGTTGCGCTGGAGTCGTCGGCGGCGGTCGAGAGGGGCCCTGGAATCTGGCGGTTAAGGGCGGTGCAGGCAAAAAAGAGAGGGGTCAGGAACTGAGTGGAGCAGCTGATCAGGGACGCGGGTGGCGACCTTGGTGTGCTGCTGCCCAGGCTATCGGCGTGTCTGCGGGCGCACACGAGGGAGGAAAGGAAGAGGATCGGGGCACCCAAGAAACACCTGGAGAAGGATGTGAGGGTCTTCCGGCAGCGCCTGTCGCAGAACCCGAACTGTCAACGGACAGGTGCAATTCTGCTAAAAAAAGAGGAGCTGCTCAACGCATATGAGAAAAGCCACCAAGAAAAGCTGCAGGAGTGGCTGGGGATGAAGGCGGAGCTAGACGGAGAAACGACAGCTGGCTTTCTATCCAGGAAGATGAAGGCGCGAAAGACTAAAACGGAGATCAAAGCGATTCATTTCAAGGGTTGTACTCACTCCGGTGCAAGAGAAGTGCTGGCAGCCGCGGCGGAGTTCTTCAGGGACTCCTTCGGCGGTGACGGAGAAGCGGGCCCCCACGTGACAGAACCGTTCTATGTGCCGGACGCTGTGCGACGCCAACCGCTGCGCCCTCCGTGCACCATGGTCGGAGGAGGAAGTTCCGATGGCGGTGCGCGAGCTAGCCCCCCGGAAGTCGCCTGGTCACAACGGTCTTCCCAAGGAGTTGTTCGAGTACAACTGGGACCTGCTTGGGCCGGTTTTGATGCAGTTCGTAGAAAATTTCACGCGAATGGCAGAGCTCCCACGCGAAGTCTCAACCGCGGTCACGATTTTGCTGCACAAAAAGGGGAGTAAGGAGGAGTTAGGGAATTACAGGCCTATTATGCTGCTAAGCACGTCTTACAAGGTGTTAGCGAAAGTAATGGCGACAAGGCTAAAGAAAGTTCTGCATGAGGTGATCTCGGAGGACCAAGCGGGTTTCTTACCTGGACGGAAGCTGCCGGATGCGGTTGCGGTGGTAGCGGATGCTATCGAGGCGGGTGCCGGTGGCGGCAAGGACTGGTACCTCCTGATGGTTGACTTTCAAAAGGCCTTCGATTCCATCTGGAGGCCCTTCCTCTTCCAAACACTACGAGGGATGGGGGTTCCGGAGCAGTTCGTGTCTTGGGCGGAGGGCCTGCACACAGGAGCAGGCACACGGTTGCACATTAACGGGTGGACAGGAGATAGAGTCGCGGTGGAAAGAGGTTGCGACAGGGCTGCCCGCTCGCGCCATACCTTTTCTTGTGCGCGGTGGAGCCGCTCTGTCAAGATATTGCGCAGCGTATGCTGGGGGTTGGGGACGGGGATGCGGAGAAGCTGGTGTATCTGGGTACGCCGACGGCACATCGCTATTGTTGCAGGAGGAAAAGCAGCTGACTGCAGCGGCTGAAGCGCTGGAAATTTTCGGGGAAAGCATCGGGGCTGAAGGTGAACAAGGATAAGATGGTGGTCTTTCCACTCGGGGAAAACAGGGGGAAGCCTCCGCCGGCGGATCTGCAGTTCAAGTGGGCAGACAAGGCTGCACCGAAGAGGCTGCTGGGTGTTTGGATCACTCCGAATGGCGACCCACTTGCGTCCTGGGAAAAAGCTTTGGACTGGGCGCACAAAGAGTTAGCCAAGTGGGAGATCCAGGATCTAACAATGTGAGCAAGAGTCACGATAATCAACGGGTATGTGTCGCCTATTTTTATGTTTTGGGCGTATATTTACCCGCCACCGGAGGAGATTTGGACAAAGATCAAGCGAATCTGTCACCATTTTGTGTCTGGAGGGGAGGCGACGGAGGAAAAGGCTTTCGTCCTTTGAAACCACGAGCTAATCTGCACACCCCGGGAAGAGGGAGGGCTAGGGATGATATGCCCCAAGAAGCGCTTCGACAACATAGCGGTGCAGAATGTCGGCCGCATGATGCTGCAAACGAACCCTGTTAAGAAGTGGCTGATGGAGCAGGCGGCGGCGATGCCTCTAGGACCGGACACGATCTATGCTCATCAGTCCCTGCTGAAACACTGGAAGGAGGGCAGTAAGCGCTGGAAGGACATGACGCAAGCTTTCCGGAAGTCGCCTTTCTGCGTCACCCCGGAGCCAAAGAATCGCTGGAAGGCGGAGCGGGAGCAGTTGGTGTTTAACAGGCGCATACCTTATAGGGGGGCCAGCCCATTCGGGAATAAAAAAGGCTCGGCACAACTACTGGGACTAACAATGGCCGATCTGATCTGGCACCGGGCGGACGGCACGCGGGAGTTGAAAAATGAGGAGACCCTGGCGAGCGAGCTCGGCAGTGTAGAAGCGGCGAAATTGGTGCTGAAGGCTTTTGCGGCGGCGACGGTCGAATGGAGAGACATGTTGCTGGAAACACTGACAAGTGAGTAGTGGCTAAGGTCCCGCTGTTGCGGTACAAGAGTGTCAAACATATATGCATATTATACTTGTGTAGGCTATAGTGGGGTAGCCAATATGGGGTACAACCCCTTTAGGGTTTCATATTTGTACCCAACCTTCTGCTAGTTCATTCATTCCTGCCTGTAGTTTCTAACATGGTTTCAGAGCAGTAGGTCCGTAGGACCATTTTTTTTTTTTTTTTTTTTTTTCGGGCCCACCTACCGTTGTGGTTACTGAGCTGCCCCACGTGTTGCCTGCGCTGCGCTGCCCGCGCGCGCCTTGCCTTGCCTGCGCCTTGCCTTGCCTTGCCTGCGCTGCGCTGCCCGCGCGCGCCTTGCCTTGCCTGCGCTGCGCTGCCCGCGCGCGCCTTGCCTTGCCTGCGCTGCGCTGCCCGCGCGCGCCTTGCCTTGCCTGCGCTGCGCTGCCCGCGCGCGCCTTGCCTTGCCTGCGCCTTGCCTTGCCTGCGCCTTGCCTTGCCTTGCCAGCACTGCGCCGACTGAGCGCGCCTTGCCTTGCCTACGCTGCGCTGCCCGCACGCGCAAACCCTAATTCTGCGAGCAGCTCGCTGCTGCCCCGTGCGTCGCGTCCGCCGCCTGCGCAGCCCGCTGCTGCCCCGCGCGTCGCGTCCGCCACCTTTGCGCAGCCCGCTGCTGCCCCGCGCGCCGCGTCAGCAGCTCGCGCAGCCAGCCTTGCCCTACCCTGCGCCAGCGCCCTGCCCTACGCCCGCGCTGCTGCCCTGCGCGTCGCACCCTACGGCAGCCCGCGCGTCGCGTGGTGCTGCCCCGCACGTCGCGCCCTCCAGTAGCCCGTGCGTCGCGCGCTGCTGGCCCGCGCGTCGCGCCCTACGGCAGCCCGCGCGTCGCGCGCTACTGCCCCGCTCGTCGTGCTCTGCTGCAGCCCGCGCTTCGCGCCTTGCTGCCCTGCGCGTCACGCCCTGCTGCAGCACGCGCGTCGCGCCCTGCTGCCCTGCACAGCGCGCGCCCTGCTACCCGCGCAGCCCAGGCCGAGCCGAGCCGCCCTACCCGACCCGATCCGCCCTCCTGCTCGTGCTACTACTGCTGCTGGTGGAGGTGCTGCTAGGAGTGCTGGAGGTGCTGCAGCCTATATCCACCAGGCCGCTCTACTGCTCTTACTGTTGTTGCTGCTGCTCGTACTGCTGTCTTCCCTCCGTACCGCCCTCCTCCTCGCACGCCTCCGTACTTACCTGCTATGATTTCCCTTCGTAGTAGCGGTGGGAGTGGTGACGGCGGTGGTGGCAGCAGTGGGAGTGGTAGCGGCCTTAGTAGCAATAGTTGTGGAGCTGTTCGGTAGGGAGTGTCTGACGGTGGCCAGATGCAGCTGCAGTGGCGTTCGCGCGAGACCCTTATACCCCAGCAGCTTCATGCGTGGTACGCTCAGCGTTGTGCGTCTCGGAGAGGTGGCGGCGGCCGTAGTAGCAGTCGTGGTGGAGCTGGTCAGTGCCGAGTTTTTGGTGGTGGCCAGATGCAACTGCAGCGGCGCCTGCGCGAGACCCTTATGCCCCGGCAGCTGCATGAGTGGTACGCTCAGAGTTGGGGGTGTAAGATTACTGCTCGCTGCCCGTATGTCATTCGCACAGGTGATCGGGCTGGTCAGACCTGCGGGACAGTTAGTCACACAGAGTCCCGCTGCTTCTCCCGTCTGAGCGACGCTTGGCGAGCACGGTTTGGCGATGAGTCTGAGCTATTCCTCTGGCTGGAGCTGCTTCGAGACGGAGTAGATATATTTGCTCTAGACTATGACACTATCCTTACTGCCATGTATGCTCTGACTGGTAGTACTGAGGGTGACTGTTACCTGTGTGTGCCCCCTGACCCTGGTATAGCAGCTGCTGCTCTAGAAGCTAGTGAGTCTGCTCTCTTTGGTACTGCGCCTGCTGAGGCTTTGCACACCTTCACGCTTGACTCAGGTGCTTCCCGCTAATTCTTTTGTGACAGTACCACAGTCACTCTCCTCCCTGCACCTGTCCCTGTCTCACTGGCTGACCCCTCTAGGGGCCCAGTGCTTGCACGGTCCACTACTGTGCTTCCGTGCCCAGCGGTCCCGTCTGGTGAGCTGTCAGGTCTCCACATCCCCTCGTTCTCTACGAACCTGGTGAGCAATGCCGTCCTTCAGGATCATTGGGTTGACACCTTTACTCCTAGAGGACAGCGTGTGGCGATCTGCACGTGCTCCAAGACTGGCCGCCACCTGGCCACGTTCACACGTGAGCCTGGGTCCAGTCTGTACACCCTCACCACTGTTTCACGCTACACCCCTTTGTCTCCACAGCTGTACGCGTCTGCTCAGGTAGCTACCTAGTGTGAGTGTCGCCGCCTGTCGCACGACACTCTCCTGTGGCACCACCGCCTTGGTCACCCCTCCCTGCCTCGCCTTCGTGGCATGCACTCTCGCTCCCTGGTCTCTGGCCTTCCCAGGTCTCTGCCTGCCCTCCCTCCCTCGCCTGCGCCGCCCTGCATTCCTTGCGTCGAGGGGCGGCAGCGCGCCGCTCCTCACTCCTCGTTCCCTCCCACAGAGGCTCCACTGCAGACTCTCCACCTGGACGTGTGGGGCAAAGCCCGCGTCCAGGGGCAGGGCCGCGAGCAGTACTTCCTGCTGGTCGTCGACGACTACACGCGTTACACCACGGTCTTCTCCTTGCAGCGCAAGGAGGATTTCCTTGCTGTTCTGATCCCTTGGATCTGCGCTGTTCGTCTCCAGCTCCGCGAGCGGTTCGAGCGGGACTTTCCTGTCTTGCGTCTGCACTCTGACAGAGGTGGTGAGTTCACCTTCGACCTCTTGGCAGCCTTCTGTGCGGAGCACGGCATCCGTCAGACGTTCACGCTTCCGGCCTCTCCACAGCAGAATAGGGTTGCTGAGCGCCGCATTGGCTTGGTCATGAATGTCGGTCGTACCTCCATGATCCATGCGGCGGCTCCCCATTTTCTGTGGCCGTTTGCGGTCCGGTACGCCGCGCATCAGCTCAACCTCTGGCCCCGTGTCTCCTTGCCGGAGACCTCGCCCACACTGCTGTGGACGGGGGAGGTTGGTGATGCGTCGCGTTTCCGGGTCTGGGGTGCTCGTGCCTTTGTCCGCAATCTCACCGCGGACAAGCTCTTTGCCCGCGCCATTCCCTGCGTCTTCCTTGGTTTTCCTCCTGACGCGCCTGGCTGGCAGTTTTACGACCCCACCTCGCGCCATGTCTTTGCGTCTCAGGACGTCACTTTTGACGAGTCCGTCCCCTTTTACCGTCTCTTTCCCTACCACACTGCACCCCCCCCCCCCCCCGCCCCCCCCCCCCGCCGCTCTTTCTCGCTCCAGGTCCTTCCCAGGTAGACCCCCTCCCCGCGCCAGGTCCATCTCCTTCAGGTGTTTCTCAGGTAGACCCTCCTGTGCCTGCGCCTGTTGAGGTCACTGGTGACTCAGGTCCTGCTGGGGGTGGTCCTGCTCGGGGTGCTGTCTCTGGGGGTGCTGTCTCTTGACAGACATGAAGAAACAGATGGAGTATCTACTCGACAGAAAACTGATCCGCCCATCCACCTCTCCCTACGGCGCACCGGTTCTCTTCATCGTCTCAGCACAGCACATGCGACAAGCCACGACCAGGCTCGTCGACGAGCCAACTTCCGGCTCGACAGATCAACTCTATGATTTTTTTTCGCACGGATTTATTGTAACTCTAAGAAGGCTGATGTGACTCAACTCAAATATCAAAGTTCCGCCAGCATTCCTTCTCCCAAGTTAGCATCCTGCACCCTCACTCCGTCATAGCTAAGTGACCCCAAACTCTTTGGTCGACAAGTGGTTTGCTGGCAGAAAATAGTCATTGCAAAGAACTAGTGCTTAGAGAAAATTTAATTGGTTAGTGCTTCAATAATATGGGTTTTGAGAGGGAAACCGCTAGAGCCAGCGAGGTAGTGTGTAGGTCGTACAAGAGTGTCAGCTGCGAGAGCTGGGTGAGAGTGCTTGGTATGCTCCCATACAGCTGGTTGAAGGCGAGAGATCTGGTGG